GCGTCAAGTGTCTGCCCAGCATTGACGCACCTGCAGCTTTTTGTCCCGGCAGTTCAATTAGTTGAAGCACCTGGACGCTTCGATCTAATCAACGAGAGCAAAAGGGCCGCTTCAAAAGTTCAACCCCCCGTTGCATGTAATTAATAATTTACGTGCGATTAACGAACGTTTTTGTGTCGAGAGAGCAAAGACGCCACTTAATTAGTATGCGCCTTCAATGACACTTGACCTTTCAAGCGCCACGCCGACCGACCGGCCATGGGTAAATTATTATGCACTCGAGAGGGCGTTTTTCAAAATGTGTGGCAACATAAATATGCAACTGGCTCGGCATGTCTGTTGTGCAGGTTGATAAACGATAAACGATAAAATACTCTTGATAAACGATAAAATGCGTTGAAAAAAATTAATTTGGATGATTTTTCATTTTGATAAGTAAAAATTGTGCACTTCAAAAAAACTGACATGAAAAATTAATATAAGTTTAGATTTTTATGAATCTTAATTATTATTTTAATTATAAATAAAGAATATTAGTTTTAAGTAACGTAAAATTCTATTCCATGATTAAAAATTTAATTTCAATTATCTGATTAAAAAAGTTCTAAAAGTATTTTAATAAAATGAGTTACATTAGAACCAATTATTTGTTAGCATTTTTTGCGAATTTAGTCTCTTATGAGCGTATTTCTTTACAAATTTACCTACTTTTTTTGTACTAGATATTGATTAACTTTTCATTTTGATAGCCTTCAAGTTTTCATTCCACAATTTTATAAATAATTTACTCTTTTATACTTTTGAAATTTTATTTCTTCCGTTCTAAATAATTAAATGCGGCAGTTTAAATCCTTCTGAAAGTAAAACGAATTTATTGAAAAATCAATGAGCGTCGGATTTATTCACAGTCCAATTCCATTCACACACCTCTTCACACGAATCGGAAAACTCTCGTTGAAAAACCGCAGCAACTGCGAGAAAGTTGGCAACAAAAGGCTCGCTGCAAACAAAGGGCGTTTTCGCCAACTCTGTATATAAATCGGGCAAAGTGGCCCTCGAGGCGGAAAACGCGCCGTTGGGCTATTTGCACGCGTTCGGTGCGGGATTAAAAACGAGATAGGGCATGATTTGCGTAGCCGGCCCCGTGTTGCGGTAAACACGAAATTGGAATGTGCCTTATCTGCGCGTCCGAATGAATTGAGAGAAAGGGAGTGCTGACCAAACAGCGGCGTCGCGATGAATATTCAAGAGCCGGTCTCTCTCCCCAGCCTGCTTCTCTCTCTCGCTGTGTGTCATTATTCAGCAATTTACATACTTAAGACTCGGCTCTGGCAATAAAACTGGCCGGGCCACTTAAAAGCGGCGGCACACCAGCGGTCCCGCACAACAATAAAAATTGTAAATTTCGGCCAAATTATTCAAACGGGGGATTAGAGAGCGTTCCGTTGGAGCTCTTTCTCTCTCTCTGCGCCGAAATAAAACACTGTTTTCCCTTTTTGTTTGGCCGCCGTTTTAATTCCGAGGCACGCGGAATAAAATAAATAAATCGTGCAGCCCCGGAAATAAAAACGCTTCCACGCGACTGGCCCCGGCGACAATTGCACGGACAAAAACGAGGCGCGCACTCGCGCTTGTTTACGCACACGTGCCTCTTTCTCTGTGCATAAAAGCGGCGCCGGAAACAAAGAGTCGTCCCGGTTGGTGTTAAGGTGCAATTGCGTTATTTAAATGTGAAAAGACCAGACGAGCAAGAAAGAAAAGCTGAGAAAAATCGTTAAAAATTCATTTCGATGCAACTTTAAACTTTTAATTTATTTTTCAACTAAAATGCTTTAAAAAACAATACAAAATAATTTAAAATAGCTTTTTTATGGCGCGTCGAAAACAATTTTTGCGCATCCTTATTTAAACCTTTCCTGCTGCTTTCCTTTGCTGCTTCTGTTATTAAATGTACAGCCACCATAAGAAATTCTAAACCCGATCCTAATTACCTCAAGAATCGATTCACAGACCATACATTTCATCTTATTATAAAACTATTTTTTGATGATTTTCAACTGTAAATTAATCTTAAATACTTCAAATGTAGAAATAAGGTGGAGTTAAACTTTTATTCAATGAGAAATTACCTATGTGATTGAAGAGTTTAAAATAAAAAATGAAATATTTTTGAAGCGGTTATTTAGCAATTACTAGATATATTGCTGAAGAAATCAAGAGAAATAATAAAATTATTATTACATTAAAAAAAAAAAATTAAATGTAATAAATAATCACAAAATAAAAAATAATTATTTTCAATACATCTATTATGAATAAAGAAAATTAATTTATACTGGTTCACATATGCTTGTAGAAAGCAATGTAGTTAAAATTAGGGTCGTAAATTTAATTTTATCGTTCAACTTTTCTCTCTTTCTTTATTCACTCGTTTTAACCTATTCCTTGTTTATCAAGTGCGTATCTTCCTGCCTAGAATAATATATGTTGCCACAAATAAGGCCGAATAACAAAAACTTTGGCCTGAAAAACAAAACACTCACATGCATTTACGTAAATCTTTCTCTTGATCAAACTGTTTTTCCTCCTTGTTGTCGACAAGATAGCGCGAACCGTTTGTCTTTCCTCTCCCTCGCAAATTGGCGAAATAAATTGCAAACGAGGCCTTGGGCAATTTTTCTGAAAACAGCTGAAGCGAAATAGAATCCCCTCTCCGCCGAAAGGGAGAATAACAAACCAACAGGCTTTTTGCAGGGGGAGATAAGGCGGGAAGAATGCGTGTATGTGTATGAATGTGTTTTTGATACCCGGGGACGAGCTCCAAATTAACTGGTGACGTCACTGATAACATCTTCTCGACTTTTTGCGGCCACGCAAATAAATTACAAGGGCATTAAAAGTGAGGCTGCGGCGACGAAATTATCTCTCCCCTCGGGGGTGGAGGAGGCGTTGAAATAACACACCCGGCGCTATCTCTTCTCTCTCGGCTTGGTACTTTTTGCCCCAGCATATTTATTGCATGCGCAATAATCTAAATAATATAATGCAGCAGCAAAGTTTTGCTAATTAACTCCCTCAAGTCCAGCTGGCTACATAATTCAGAGAAGGGCAAAAACTAGCGGCAAGTCGCAGCAGCAGCCATCATTTCCGCTCGCAAATCCCTGGACGGCGAAAGATATCAAGAGTCGCTCGATGGGGATATGATGAAAATTTGCTCGAAAACGAATCGTGCGATACATATAACGAGTGTGTCTGTCTCTCTTCCCTTTACTCACTCGAGTCCTGCGACGCTCTTTTTTATGTATGTTGCTTTTCGTTTGATCTTCCGCCCCGAATTTTCGATTTCGTCGCCACTGTTGCGAGTGAGAATCGGGAATGAAAATCACCAAACAGGTATTGCTTTTTGTAGGCGTGGAATGCTTTTGATCAATTTGGTGAAGGGGAGTCAAAATGTGTAGCAATTTTTATGGAATGTAAGTGCTTCAAAAATTTATTATGAATCGTACGTGAAAAAAAAAATTGAAATTGAAATTTCAGAAATAATTTTCAGGCGATCAACCGCTCTAAAAATTTTTTTCTAAGTATTTTAAGTCATGAAAACTATGATAATTTTTTTTTTATTTCTTTTTAATAGATTTTTTGTATGGTGAAAGAATTACCAGGGAAGTTGGATTTTGTCAAGTAACGTGTAAATTATTAATAATTAAAACGCGAAGAATTTTTTCTACTAATTTACTTGAATACTAATTAATTGAAATTATTCAATTATTCTCAAAAGCTAATAAAAAACATTTTGAACGTTTAACAAAATTAGCAACAGCAATTTTATTGCATTTTCAGGTCCCAAAACTAAAAATTAATATTAGTTGTTTTGGATGGTTGGAATAAAATTTAAATTTTTAAATAATAAAATTAAATTTAAAATGTAGTATTGTGAAGAAAAGACTTCCTGAATTCACTTGAATTTTAAGAAATAACACTACTTCTTAATGGAGCTTTGGGAATTTTTCAATTTGATTTGCGACCAAATTTTCATGCTATATTTCTACTATATTTTAATTATTTAAATATACTAAGTATTTTTGCTGACGTTTAAATGTTAATTTTGTTATAAACAAAAAAACGGGCGTCATAGGTGTCTACCTAGATTTTTATTTGCGATATAGAGAGAGTCAGAGTCGTGTTTGTCCAGCGGTGGAGATGAAAAAGCGGCTGCTGCCGAGTGATATTAGGTGCAGAGCTGGGAGAATCTGCGGCAAATCAAACACACACACCACGCTGGCTGGTCTCTTCAGTGCACGCGCGCATCAGATTGATGAAATAGAAGTCGACGCGAGGCCCTTGTGCCGCCCCAACTCGCTCTTTCCTTGCCTCGGGCCAACTTGACTTTTCGGCCGACTTGCCAGCCAACTCGAATTAATACTGCCGGCAACTTGTCGCGCAGGCCAACAATTCAAACAAACTTTTCCTAATTTCAGTTCCCGAGTTTTATTTTGGCCCTGGCAAAAACTTTTTATGTATAATATTTGGACGCAGAAACTCGCTTCGTTTTAATTAAAAGCAAAAAAAAAAAAACGTCCGCCAGTGTTTACTGAAATGAATTTTATGTGGAAAAAGCAGAAAGTTTAGCGCATCCTTCCTAATCATATTTTTTTAAAAAAAATCCAATTAAATTTAAGTTAGTTTTATTATATAATTATAAAAAAAAAACTCGGAACTACGCATCATTCAAGACCAATTCCTGTTTCAAGTTCTAAAGCTTTAGGAGCGCAAAGTTTTTGATTTTTTTTTTCAACTTCTAGAATAAAAAATTGAAGGATTGCACTTTTTTCTTTCAATTTCACACCAAAAAAATGATTTTTAAAACAATTGCTATGAAATGATCACCAAAATTGAAATTTATTATTTTAATCTCTAGGTTAGGTCTTGTGAATTTTAAAAAAGTTTCAAATCTTTAGTTTTTTTTCTTCCTCTTTACAGTTTTACTACTGGGCCTCCATATTGATCTGCGGCAGTTGCTTCATCATCTCCTGCTGCTGCTGCTCGGAGCATATTATGTGTGTGTTTTGCGGCACCCATAAGTCAAGCAACTGTTTTGTATTCCGTGGCTGTTGTCGCTCGGAAACTGGTGCTGGTGTGACGCGCCCGCTCGCTCGCTCGCTCGCTCCTCTCGAGAAGGCCCGACCACGCCCTGCTGTGTGTCTGTTTACCACCCTGCTAATAATACCTATGTTACCTACCCGTTTATATGTCCCGGGTACTTTTAACTGCCACCGCTGACGGGCGATTTTTCCGGCTTTATTTGAGTTCCGCCAACCGCGTGCTCGCCTCCTTTGAAGTCCATCTCCGGTAATTCTCTTTTTCTCTCTCTCTGGTTGTTGCCAAATAAAAAGGAGACCGTGCTGCTTTTCCCCGCTGATTTTTTACAGCCCACGAGATCTCTTCATGATCGATTTACGAAGCCCAGGTGTCTTGAATTACACAGAGACAATGATAAGATCACCTGAAAATCAATAATCAAATTTTTAATTCATTTCTAAAAATAGTAAAGACAACAAAATTAAATAATTACATGAGTGCATATGATAAGTAATTTATTTTAAAGAAAACAATCTTAACAACTCTTCATGGAATATAAGTCAAATAAAGTCATTAAAAAAAATTGTGGCTACAATTTCAATAATCTCCAACAATTGTTTCTATTCCTGTCAATACTTGTTTTGAGTTCATAAATTTAATCGTATTTGGTTAAGCAGTAAATAATAGAATGGGAATAGATTCAAATATTTGTAATTTCCAGTAATTTCTGATGGAAATTTTATTAAACAAGCTCTCGTCATTTTCAAATTTTGGTTTTAATGGAGTAGTGTTAGAATGGTTAAAATAACAATTAATGTAATCATTCGCAGTTTTGTGCTTGTTAAAATATTTCCAAGTGCGTTTGAGTTTGACGTGGGTTTTAATAATTATTATGCCAAAGCATTTTTTGCTGCCTTATGACATTCAACTGGGCTTAAATTTCAATAATCAGACTGAAAAACACACACACAGGCAAAAGTTTTACTTAAATTGATTAATATTTATGTTTTTATCACCAATTTTGTCAGATTTAAATTAATTTTTTTTTAGTTAATTTCATATTTTTGGAGTTAAACCAAAAATGATTTTGTTTGAAGAAATTGGCACTTGAGGAGATGATCATGGAAATGAAAAGATCGGACTGTTTCTCGTTGTAAAAATGGTTTTTATTCATAAACAAACAAATGGCTCTTCCAGTTTCGGTCACGGTATGCGACCCCATTTCATGAGCAATTGCGCTGCTCGATGAATAATTTACTTTTGAATAAAAAACAATTTTTACAAATATTTTTGATGCAGAAAGAAATTCAGTCGTTCTGAATTAAAATATAAATTTTTCCAGTTTCAATTTTTTGTTTGACATGAGTGGAATAAATAATAATTTAATTTTTCAGGATGACTAAATAATTTCACAACTGCATTATGAAAACGGCAAAAATTTATTGCAAACCATTTGTCACCAGCCACTTATTGCTGTAATATTAACATTTCATTAGCCGCAGATACATTTTTCCATATTTTCAATTAGTTATTTTAATGCAACGCAAACTCATCAACGATTCCCGCTGTCCATTTGCAATATTACCCAGCCATTAGAGCAAACATTGCTAAAGCAATTCGTTGGAGCGTGGATGCATCCATCTCCCTCGCTGATGGCCAGAATATTTCATCTAATTAGAGCAAACTATTAGGCCGCGTGCATCGGCTGGCAGCGAATCGCTTCGATTGCACGTCCATGATTTACGATCGTCCGCCAAGCGTTAAATTTGCATCATTATTAATAACCGTATGTGTACTTTAACAAGTTCCGCCTGTGTAATAATAATATGCAGTCATATAGTTTGCTGCATCAAACCAAACAAAAATACAGCATTTCACTCGAGTGGTTTAACGACGGCAGCTCTCGTTTGATTACAACTCTTTTTGCAGTAATAATATATTTGACGACTTTTATTCCTTGGGCTAATGAGGCTCGAGTGACGATTCAAATCCTGCCAAATGGCTCGTGCAGCTACACAGCAACACAATATTACACGCCGTTACGTTCTGCTGCAGTACGTGTGTGTGCGCCCGCCCTAGGGGCAGTGCTGAAAAACTGCGCACATGCCTCGATACGATTGCCAGAGCTAAATGGGCCAAAATGACGCAGTCTCTGCCCGGCAGATGAGTTTTTCCACTTCATTTAAATACATACGCAGCTGGATAGAAAAATAAAATGGAAGTTTACACAATATTCTAGCCATTGAACATAGTTCAAGTGTTTCTCTATTTTGATCATTTTATACTTGAAACTTGGTTGTACGAGGCTTAAGAAACAATGGTTTAGAGAATTATAATGCTGGCAAACGTGAGGTGATGAAATATGCTCGCAATATCAATATTGGAGTTCAATTGAAAACAGGAGAAAAGTGGAAAAAACAAAGTATTACGTCCAAATTAGAGGAATAAATCATGATTGTAAAATTTAATTTTTTAAATTATATTTGATATGCATGAACGAACAGCACACATTATGAAGGTATGAACTTATTAAACATACCAAAATAAACAAATTAAGATTTAAAAAAAAATAGCATATACATGTGTTGCTTCCTAAATTTTTAATATTTTATCAAAATCTTATATTTAATATATTTAATTAAAATAATTATTTTTTTATTTAATGCTTTAAATTGTCCAGTGACTCATTTTAAACCTAAAAACTTTAAAAATAATTTATAGAAATATTACAAAAATTTATTTTTATTAAGAACCAAGAAAGATTCTGAACTTTAAAATTGTAAGCGCTATATCATTGCAATGTGTCGCAGGAATCCCTTTGAGTACATAAGTTATTGTCAGTTATTATCCAGCAAGAAATTAAGGAATTTAATTTGTATTGATAACAATGGTTCACAGAGTATTATAGGGTTCTTAACTATGAAATTTAAAATTTCCGGAAGTTGTGTCGCTTTAGCCTTTACCAATTAAAATCTGATTGTAGTAACGTTAATCGTACATGAATTTATTTTGACTTTAAAACTCTACAAATTCTTATTTAAAAACCCCATATTTTTGGGCTAAAAAGATGTGTCAAAAATATAGTAATTGTTCAGTATTAAATTTATTAATTATTTTAAGTATGATCTTGTCTATCTCGCACTTCCCTATTATTTGACGGTTTCCATTAACGGAATAGCTCATAATATTATCGCCTTTTCCAGTGCCGAATATCGACTCCCTCCCTAGTCATTAACACAAACAGCAGCGTTTCAGCGCACACGTAAATGCACATAACATGTCCGATTCATATGCATATCTAAACTCATCCTCTATACCAATTCCATATTCGCCGGTATAGTTATGTTAATAACCAGCAGCCTTTTACGGCTCCTGTCGGTCGTTCCGATTTTCGCGCCACTATTCGCTGCGATTTCGGCAGCTTCATGGCAGAGGTGCGGCCAAATGTGTCAAAATGCAGTAAAATTTTATTCGCATGTCTCAGAACGTAATGTTCGGAAATGAGAAAAGGAAAATATATTTGGAAATTTGGTTTGTTTCAGAGAGCGAATCGCGGTCTGTCGGAAAGTCTGCTCGTCCTGGCAGCAAGTCTCGGACTCCTCCTGCAGGCCAGGTTGTACCTGATGGGCGGCCAGGTGCCCGAGTTCGCGTCGTGCGACAACCCTGCCGCCAGGTCCAAGTCCCTCACCACCAGGTTTCTCACCTTCGCCTACCTGCCTGCGTTCAACTTGCTCCTCATGGTGTTCCCCAAGTGGCTCAGTTTTGACTGGTAAGTGAAGCGAATTATTTTATTCAATCTGGAAAAGAGAGAAATTTTTCAAGTTGCAGAGTCCAACTTAATTTTTTTCTAAAGGAATCTAATTTTTTTAAACACTAAATGAGCTAATTTTTTTTTTAGACCAAGCACCGTTAAATTTAATCTCACTCGCAAACGTTGGCATTTTTTTTTCGTGATTCTACTTAATAAAGTCAAGAATAAGGGTCTGGACTGTCAGGAGTACAAGAATTAAGATAGTTATTAGTTATTACTAGGTAATATCAATAGAAATTTGATAAAAAAAAAATCAAACAACTATGTATTATTTTAAAGTATAAATAGAAATAAATTTATTTTTATGACTTATATTGATATTTTATTGAATAATTTTCATTAAATTTTATTTTAATGCATTATTTACTATTTAAAAATAAAATAGCTCCAAAATTATAGTGAAAATGATATCACATCTTATAAATTGTACCATACTTTGGCACAGTCAAAGTAAAAACACATAATAGTATATAAAATAAATTTTACACGCCACAATACCAATTAAAAGCAATAAAAAAGTAATCCTTACAGCCCTTTATTGGTGCCTTTTCTTTAAGCAAGTAATATAATATTAACTTAAACATATAATTATTAATGGTAACAATGGAAAACAAAAATCATCAATAATGTGACAAGTTTAGCACCTAATTTAATCGGTCTTATTAAATTTGAAGAAATTCATTTTCAGCAATATTTAGGAAATTTTCTAAAAAAAAAAATTCATTTTTCTAGGTCAATGGAGGCCATCCCTAGGGTCAAGTCAGTGTCAGACCCACGCAACCTGCTGTCCGTGCTGTTGTACTACGCCCTCTTCCGAGCCGGCTGCCGCCTCCTGACGCTCCTCCGCCGCCCCCAGCGTCCCTGCCGCCCCCCAAAACTGCCCAAACGCTGCACCGTGTGCCACTTCTCGTCGGCCTCGGGCGGCCACAACAACAACCACCCCTCACCTAAGTTGGCCGCAAAAATCCTGACGCCCCCGCGCGCCCCCAAGGGGGCGGAGGCCGCCCTGGTGGGACTCGGCGTCCTCTGCGTGCCCTTCGTGCCCGCCTCAAACCTTTTTTTCTACGTCGGCTTCGTGGTGGCCGAACGCGTTTTGTACATTCCCTCGGTGGGCTACTGCCTCCTTTTGGGGCAGGGCGCCGGCGAGCTGTGGAGGCGGGCCGCCCCCACGCAGCGGAGGGCGCTGTTCGTGGCCGCCCTGGTGCTGCTGGCCGCCTTCTCCGTCAGAACGGTGCAACGAAACAAAGACTGGAGCTGCGAGGAGAATTTGTACCGCTCGGGCATCCCCATCAACCCTCCTAAATGTGAGTACTTCTTTTTTCAATCATTCCTAAAAATTTTCAATTTCTTCTTTGTCTTTTTGAAATTGTGCATTGACGATTTGTCAGAAATTGATTAAATATAGAAACACTTTTCGGAACTATGAAAATTATGTAGAAATTTTCTAATTTTTAAACTGAAAACGTACAATTGGAAAAACTAGAATTTCAACTTCATGCTTGGTTTACATGAATCTGATTGGCAAAAAAATAGTTTTGAATTTTAAAGAAATACTCAATATCTCTGAATAAACAAAATTTGAAAAAGAAAATTTTCATATTTACGACCAAGACAGCTTTTCAAACAAATTGATAATGGTGACACTTATTAATTTGTTATTCAAGTAAAAAAATTCAGTTGATTGATTAGATACAGCTTATATTTTGACAGCTTTTGATAAATATTAATTGATTTTTGAAAAATCAAATCAGGAAAGTAACCAAAATTTAAACTTCATTGTATCTATAGACTAAAAATAAATCCTATATAGATTTTTCTGAATCTTTTTTCCTAAAAAGAAACCGGACTCAATTTTTTAGCTTGTAATATTACATAATCACCATTTCTTTTGTGTTAAAATTTTTGAAGGTTCATAAATTTGATCTGGTTTTTAATCTTGACTAGAAATTGAAAGTCAAGTCTCGGCGAGCAATAAAAATTCATTGAATTATAAATTTACTTCTTTTTTATAAAATTATTCAAATAGCTTCTCTTAATTTCAAGAATGCTGACTTGAAACGTGATAAAAAATACTGCAATTCCCACTATTTATCATGATGAACTGGAAATGATGTATTATTCTTACGCTCATCGATGTTTTTTACTCTGGCAAAATTGTGCAGACGCAGAGGAATAGATGAAAGAAAAAAAGCGTTCGAAACTTTTGGCAAAAAGCACCCAAACAATTGGATCGAAAGTTCACTTTCACTTCATTGCGGAGCGCCATTACTGCGGATCAGCAAATTCGTTTTCGAGACTTTTCAATATTAAACACAAATCCTCCTGCCGACAGACAGTTAGTCTTGAGAGCAAGTTACTACTTTCCCTCCCTTTCCCTTTCGGTTGGTTGGCCGAATCATTTTACTGCGGCAGTAAAAAGTTTCGCGCGCAGACACTTCTTGCTCCGCTCCGAATATATATCAGCCCGAAACAATTTGAGTAGCTGCATGTGTGTTTCATCCATCATGGTACATACATGGGGCGCAGGGCACGAGCGGAATGGCCAATGCGGCAGCTCATAATCATCTCTCTCTCTCGTGTTTTATTGAAAGCCAACACGGAGGAATTGTGCCCTTTCTTTGTTCGGGGCCTCCTCGGAATACATAAAGAAGCCAACCGCGAGCAACAGAATTCCAAACGACGCGAAAATAAATAGACGCAGAATACAAATTTGAGTGCGGGGCAATTTCCCCGGATGATACATTACCGGCTTCCAACGGCTATTATATTCCTCAAGAGTAGCGCGCCAACCCCATACCTAAAAATGATAAAAAAGAAGCCTTTTTCGTGCCCGGAGAGCTGTTTCATATTTTATCTCCGGTGGGAACTTTTGAGCCATAATTGGCTGCAAATTGATGATTCCAACGTCAGTAATAGAATTTTTAGTATGGAAGGAAAGAAGAAGTAAACTTTTTTATTAATGCATCAAAATGTCTGAAAACATGATTATTTTTTATGAAATAAGTATAATATCTAATAAAATTTCTGAAATAACTGCATTACTGATTGATAATTTCAAAATGATTTAATAAATTTAAAAGAAAATGCTGAAAATTATTATTTTTATTAGCTCTCTAATTAAGAAAATTGCTTATAGATTGAGTTATATTTAATTTTTAAAGGTACTGATATTGAATTTTGTACTTATTGTTAATATTTTATAAAACAGTTGAAAAGCTTATAAATTCATTAGGTTTTTACCAAAACTATTTTCTCAAAACCATTTGAATCATCGGGTTCACAAATTTAAAACTGAAATTTTATTTTTAACCCTTTTTCAAATTATAAAAAGCTGCATATTTTATTACCATCATGAAATTTTGATTTTAAGCTAAAAGAAACAATTTTTCTGGACAATTGAGTTTATTCTATCAGCTCCATCTGCACCCCTTATCGAAATTTGATCTTGAATGTCCATGCGTCACACCACCACTCGATATGCGAGGGTGAAACCGAGTTTCGCTGCTTTATAGGGGATAAAATTCGGTTCGATGTGGTGCTAAGTGCGAGGACTTGTAGATTGCGTCCTTCTTTCCATTATTCCGCACTAAATCACGTTACCGCCTCCCCGTGTATAAGTATAACCGCCAAATTGGCCGAGATGCCAAAAAACATGTTTTATGGCGCACACCAGAGAGAATTCGCTTTCGCAAACGGAGTGGTTTATTGGAAAAGTAGTGCGAAATGCACTCGCGAGTCGCGCCAAATTGCTCCAATCCGGCTGGAAAACACGAATCACAATTTTTTGCGGACGTGCGGAAAAGTATAAACGGCATCATTGCAAAAAACGAACTTAAAAAAACCAAACGGTCGAAATAATGAAATAAATACGAAAAAAAAAATATATTAATGAACTTTAAAAAATTATTAATTTGGAAATGTGAGGTACTGATCTTGTAATGAAATTTCCACAAATTTATTATCTCATCAAAATAATCACTTATTGTTAATTCAGTTGCTAAAGTGTAGAAAATCTCTAGATACTGTCACAAAATATTTTAAAATTTGAAATGTAAAATGATCATTTCCTTGAAGAAAATTTAATTTTAAATAAATTATTAAATTCAATCAAAATTTAACCATATTTTGATGATTTAATTGGAGTACGTTAAAGCCTGCTGAACAAATTTAATCCCATTCATTTCCGTCCACGTGCTGTCTATGTCCAATTTATGCTCCGTAATTAGGGCAGAATGCTCGACTGACGGACGATAATTAACTGGTATGAAATGGAAAAAATTTCATCATGGCCGGTGCACTTGCTGATTAAATTTCTGCCGCACGTCGGCAAATGAGCACGGATTCGATTAGCAGTAAAGTGAGATTTGCATTTTTAACACGCGGTAACGGTGGCGGCGGCGGCAGGTTTGTTTGCTCAGCAGTCGTGTGGGCTTTGTATTATTTTTCCCGCCGACGCCCCATTGTTCCCGCCGCGTGTTTTGCATCACAAAGCTAATCTTCTTCCTGGATGGTCAGCGACCGCTTTTTGTTTAATTTTTGCAAAAGCACAAGAGGAAAAATACAATAATGAGAAAAAAAATAAATAAAAATTATACGAGGAGGAGATTCATTTATCATTAAAAAAGTGAATTCGCCAAAAAATTATATTTATAGGGGAATAATTAATTTGAAACTTCTCACCCTGAAAGAATGAAAAAGGAAATGTGGAAAATTGAGAGTAGCCGTATATAATAAAGCATAATAATAAAGTCGAGGGCCTCCTCCCTGCCATCGAGAAATTACGAGAGATTAAAACGACGGAGTTCCGCCTGCGTGCGACGCAAATCCCTTTATAATTACAGGCTGAAGAGGTCACCCACTTCAAATATTGACCCGAGAGCTCTGAAGCCAACCTGGGCCCTCCTTTTTTAATTACTCCCCGTATTTTCCGTCCATCCGAGCCGACATTATTACTTTTCCTTGAGCTTTGATGAACTCCTTGAGGAACTTTTCCGATGATTGAAATAAAAATTAATTTTCAAACGGCTTCCTCTTATTCTTTGCACAACTTTTCAAAACAAGTGGCTTCCTCCTTATATAATATATACCATCTGATTAGCTTTTTGTGCACTACCAGTTGAATTAAGTGTGTTTCGCCATCCAGTGTTGGCACCCGCAAAAGTGCTCTTGATAAATAAACAAAAATGCACCCAGGGGAGCGGATCGAGGCTTTTACCGCGCGCGGTGGCTTCAATTGGCCGGAAAATTGGTTCGAATGGACACGTTTTTTCGCCAATGGGCATATCGACAAGGAAAAGAGATAGAAGTGTCCTGTCCTGTCGACGCACAACGACTGCCACCATAAAGTTTTTATTTGGCTCTCAAAAGGCCTGTGCCAAGAGAGAAAGAAAATAAATAGAAAAGCTACCTTTTTGTTTTTCGTACTCAAAAGGAAACTAATTGTTAATTAAGATTGAGGATTGATAATCACTAGAACAGAAAAAAGTCATTTAATTTCATCGATTGAATTTTGTGATATCAAATAATGAAATAAAACCCATTCTCATATTAAAACAATATGAGTTTTGTTTATTTGCATAAATTGTTTCAATCGAATTCTTTGCATGCAAATATTTGTAATAATAATTAGTTTACAATTTGCGCAGTGAAAGAAAGGTACTTTATTGGAAAAACGGCACCAAAACAAGAAAGAATTTGTTAAAAAAAAAATCCTAGATCAAGAAGACTTCATTCAATAGCCGCAGTGACCGATTTTTTTATTTTTTTATATACTTATATATCAATTTTATTAAAAAGTGTCATTTGTTCCACATTCCTTTAAAAACTAAATCAATAAGTTTCGTGCAGAGATATTTTCAAAAATTAGTTTCTATAAATTCCTTATCAAATTAAGTTGGAATTCTGTGCTCGAAAAGGGCCGCCCCTCTCACGCAGGGTCTCAAGGACTCAAATGAATTTTATGTACATCGGTCGACTAATTTACGAGTGTGCAGATAAGGCGGCCAGGGGAAGAGAAGGAGCGGCCACTCTGAATTGTTATTATTATACGGCCTCGTTGGCTCAAAGATTATTCAAACAATGGATAAATTATAGGATAGGGTCGAGCCAGCCTTCCTTATCTGGCACGCTAATTTCGTAAAATATTTCCTATCGAGCCCTTTAAATATATATTCCGGGCCTTAAACACACTCGCGTTTCTTTCTCTCGAATCTTGTATTCAAATCCGAAGAGAATTTCATTCCAATTTCCAATACGGTAGACGAAATTGCTTTTTAAACGGCAGCATCTTTTTCTCCTATCTTCA